TTTCCGCTGTGCAGATGGATCTTTGCATAACAGTAAATATCTTCTTTACAGGTTTTGCTGACATTCACTATCCTTAAAAATTATAACAGTGTTCAGTTGATGCATTTCAGCTTTGGATAAAAAAAACTAATTAGGAAGCAATTATATTGTCACTCACAGTTCTTTCCAGGCCCTATGCAGACAACACAATCCGGAATAGTGAGGAAACACTGGGGAAAAAGTCATGCAGGAGACGGGTATGGAGACAGGGGGGCGTGTCCTAGGTGTGCAGGTGTCCAGGGGAAGTGAGTCTGGGGCGAACGATCCAAGACCAAGTCCAAACGGGAAACCAAAACAGAAGCATATGTCCATGGCCAGGCAATCCATCCAGGGGATTAAAAACCAGGAACCGGGTTGGGACCGGCGGGGGGGGATCAGGAACAGAAAGTTAAAACCATAATGGAGCCAGACGCAGCAGGACCTGGGCTCTCACGAAACGGGATTCAATGAAGAGCCTCGAATGACGTCTGCGTCTGGCTTTTAAGGGGGAACTGAAGAGGGGCTAGAATAAGGAACAGGTGCGGGTAATGGGGCAGAACAAAGAAGGGCTGGAGCGCCCTTAAGAGGAGGAGTAGCGATCATGAAATATATACATTACTTGTAATTTATCAAAATGTGAAATTGTTGGCAGGAGGTGAATAATTTGTCAGATATTGTATATATACAGTATATAATGTCGGGTACCAGTATTTTTATTCAATTGGTGAGTTCATTTCCTCCACTCAACCTAATCTACTGTGTAGTGGGGCCATTCATACATAATAAAGAGACATCAATTTTCTCTCAGGCGGGCATGTAAAACTTTTTGGGATCCCAGAATTAATCCCAAAATTAATACCTCTTTAATCTAAATTAATTAAAAAAATTTAAAGTGAAATTAGCGTGTGGAAACAGATGTCACGTCAAAGCTAAAGGAAAAAAAGTTCATTTTTCAAAGTTATAAAGTTTTTATGTGCAATCCTGGTTATTGTATCCTGTAGCAAATTAGAATATTAGTCTATAATACATGATTTTTCTGCCCCCTTGTGGACAAATGAGATATTTGTTTTCTGTTGCTGGATTTACACTACTTGCAGTATTTCGAGCTCTGTAAACAGCCTTTGTAGTTAGCAATTAAGAAAGTGCTTTTTAGAATTAATATATGTAAATTGAATGCATAACCCCTAAAATTGAAACATTCTATTTGTGCTGTCTGCTGAGATTCATATAAGATTCATGACACTAAAATAATTTTAGAAAAAAACAGGAAAAGAGTGTTACCCTTTGATTGTATTTATCTTTATGCATTTTAAATCTATACTCACAGATTGTTAAAAATCTAAATATCTAAAAACCTAAAATTTGAATAAAGGAAGGCCTATACAAGAACTAGAAAGTTTATTACAATGATGGCAAAGAACAGAAAAATGCTGTTTACTGTATATCCTAATTTATATTGTCCAGTTAAGTATTATTGTTGCTAATTAATGTTGTTACCGCGCTACCATCTGGTAGTAAAATCACTACTATATGCAAATAAAATTGCATCCAAATGTTGAATATGACAGAAAACAGTTGAAAGGAAAATTAAAGATAAAACACTTACCAGCCTATTGTGTGGAATCTCAACAAGTAGTAACAGAATCACATGAACCTGAAAATCACCTGTGTAAGTCAATATATTGTACATTACACAAATATACTACAGTACCAAATAACTAAAATTCTTACAGATGGTTATCTGAACGTTTCATTCAGTCAAGAAATAAGGTATTAAAAAACAAAAAAAAAGTATTCCTACTTGTATAGTTATTGTATCTCATACCATTTTTAATTTCACTTTCAAGTATTATTTTATGTAGTGCCATGCTTCTTTTACCATTCATTTATATTTTATACTTATACTCCTCCTCTCTCCCAGCTTTTGTTCTCCTACTACATTACCTTTGCTTCCTGCCCTGTCTTTTTCACACCTCAAGAAGGCTCCACAGCCGAAACGTTATGTTTTCTTTCTTCTTTTTTTCAGCATGGAATAAACCTACTATTTGTTCCTTTGCAGCCTACACATGCTGATGCAGCTACCCACCTGAACTAAAATGGGAGAATGGCAACTATCAAGCAGAGAACATCATGTGACTTCCTTTTATAATGAATTTTCTTTTATGTGTTTATATAAGTACACATTGAAGTACAAAAGTAAAAGTACAAACTAGTATGCAAATAGCAAAACCATGAAAATGAAATATACTGTAGAAATGGAAACACTGAGAGCCTGAAGTGGCTAACTATGAAAAAGGCTGAGAACCTAACAGAATGTGTTGTGGCAAATCACTGAAAGCTTATTATCAAAGTCAAAAAGCTACAGCTTTAGACTTTGATAATAAGCTTTCAGTGATTAGAAGAGTAGTCACAAATTACCAGTATTTATTAAATGTAACAAAGGACCAAGTCAAACTAGAAAACTGCTGATTTGTCAAGACCATTATGCAAAGGCTTCAAGACAGAAGGAAACTAACAAATATTTATGGAACAAAAAGAGAAAAAACAGAAGTAACAGCAGAGTTACTTAAGAGTCCATTATAGACAGAAAGGCAGAAAGAAGCTGAAGTGTATTGATGCGGCTTTTGAGAATAACCCATTTTTGAGGTCTGCAAAAACACTACATTATTTTGACATTTCAAGAGAACATGCACTATGGAACAGACCTGACTAAGATAACAAATTCTTATCAGATGAATCATAGTTCAGCAATAACAAAACAAAATACATTCTGTACAAAAGAAGAAATTTATGACCACAACTTTTTGTGCAAATGTGATATATGATAGGTTGCTTATCTTCTAACATATTATACAGACAATGCAAACATTCCCCAGCATCACACACCTACTTTCTGTTTTGAAAATGGTGGTCTTGTTATCATCTCATACTGTTCCTGTCTAATTTATAAATTAAGGTTTACTGGCACTAGCAGGAGGAAATACTGTCAATACCACTCTTATGAAAAATACCACATATGACTCATTATTATGACATAACAATGGGGGAAAATAATTTTGTTTTATTCTGTTTCCACTTGGTTGATGTGTTGGTGTCTGACATGATAGTTTTGTCTTTTTATGTAAATGTACTGTTTTGCTGTACTGTGGCCCTAATGTGGCTAATTCAATTGCTAAACTGAGAGATGGCAGAATGTGGTGGAAACACAAAAAAGGTAGTACATCAAGTGGTATCTATATTCATCATTCTGGTACAATCAGATCAAGATGGTACAAGGTCTGCTTTCTACTACTACACCTTTTCATTCAGAAACCCAGTCTAAGAAATGAGTCATTATTTTAAGGTTATAATATAAAGGAGATCTCCTATTCCAGAATTTGCCATCAATGTTTAACTGACCTGGCTCTAACATTATTCTGTTTTCTGAATTTATTTTATACCTCTGAGATTTAAATTGTAGTTCGATTCTCTGTTGGACTGAATGGATTCAAGGAAATGTCCTTTAAATAGTTGTATCTGAGACTTTTTTTTGCATAAACTCGCAGCATTGTAAAAAAAAACCTTTAACACTACCCACCTTGCAGGAAGAAACCTGAAGATAGCTCATTGACTGACTAGTAAATTGACTGGAATTCACTTTGGGATAATATGTACGGGTATGATACTTTAAAAACAGATTATTTCATATTTTAAGCAAATATTCCATTGTGCGCTATAATACTCACTATGGGGCGTATTATGAAATAATATAGTCTTTTGTGGAGTCAAGTGATTTATTCCACTCATGTGGGTTGCATTATAGTATTGACTTGTGTAAGCCAACTAGGCTTTGAAACCTAGAAGATCAAAATAATGATGATCTTTTCTTCCTACTTGGGATACATCTGGTATCATAACCAGGCAAAACACATTTATAGGTCATCAAGCAGGCTTGACCAAATAACTCAGTCTTATGCATTTTAGATCTCACACAGCTCTTAAAACTACACACGTCCAACAAAACTAGATAAATGTTTTAATAACCTTAGAGTAAACAAAGTTTACTTGCATTCAAGCAGCAAAAGATGTTATTGCTCAAATTAGCTTTGTTAAAACACAGAAAGGTGTGTTTGGATGTTCTTCGATGTACTTTTCTCTTAGAAAGTATTTTGTATTTCAAAGAACTGAAAGGAAACATAATTCTTATTTAATATTTGATGCATTTTTTTCTATATATAAATCTTAACATTTGCCAGCATTATCTGTAACATGCAATGGCAAAGGTTATGAACCATTCTGATATCGTTTTTTTTATTTTTTAATGCTCATTTAATGTGCTTTAAAACTGCCAATCCCAAAGTAAAATGCAAATAAAATAATTAATACAACATAGTCAATGCTGTGTTTGTTGTTAGCAAGAGGACAAGGTCTAACTATTGTTTACCTTATCAATTAACTAGCAAACCAAATCCGGATCCTTGCTAAATGGACCAAACTACCTTTTCAGATGGATTCTTTCATTACCCACATATAAGGCACAACTTTATTAATATTTAACATAAAAAAACTTATTCCTGGCACTCCACATGTAGAGCAACAGACTATATTCCTTATGGCTTAGTACTGTCTAAAAATTCTCTTTATGGGACAAGTAAATGTATTTCTAGCTCATTTTTATTTTTTTCTACAAAGTCTGTCACGTATACTGGTTTTCATTGTATATGTTACAAATTAAATAACAGAACCATTTTATTCTCGTCTATTTCTACTTTAAACCGTTTTTTTCCCACTCACTGCTTTTTTACATTTGTATGAAATACATTGCTCATTCGCGGTCATTTAACGCCCTGGAAATACAGCATATTTTATATATATCCTCGGTTAGGAAACGTAAAACATTATACGCTCTTCCGCTATGGTTATACAGACAGTACCCGGATGAGGGTCACCCTCACTTCTTCCTGCAAGTCCGACTTTGCCTCACTCGCTCCCAGCGTGCACCGCGCTGCGCAGTGACGCCAAGAACAAAACACAGAGCAGACATACAGAAAGAGGGTGTTACTTGAAATAAACATTACACAATCCAGGACGAGAAGATCGCTTACAAGAAACGTAACAACAAAACCCCCAGACTCTTGAAATTAAAACGGACAATATGCACATGTGTACGCACTGAAATATACCGTCTAACGCATAAACAGCAACTGTGTATGTTTTGCGGTCCCAAAGCAGGGTTAAACCTGGAGGATGTGATACATAAACACCAGAGGTAAGGGTTCGCTGCTATTGCTTTTTAAGTTAACATCAGTTTTCAGTCTGCTTGATCAGGTTGGAGGGGGCGGTTGTCATAGTGTTGAACACAGAAACGCGAATGGGATAAGTTGATAAGATGCAGATTAGCAAGCCATCCTTTGTACTGTGTTATAACAGTTGGTGGTATAGTCAGGCTGACTAGCGTGTGCTGGGCCCATTGGCGGTGTACTGTACGGATAATCCGAAATGTAGCAAAACGAGGATGAGCCTTTCATTTTCTGTTAGGAGGAAAATTTACTGCCTTCATCGATTCTTCTGTAGTCTTCACTACTTTGTTTAGTGATAGTAGGAAAAGGAAACTAGGCCTCGGATTGAAACTGGACTACAGCCTGCATCCAGAGCACTGCTGAAACCCTTTCAGATCTTAAAGGGACTTAAACGTGGCGTCCTTTGTGTAATTATAACAAACTGACTTTTGTTGGTCAATTTTCACGTTAAAGAAAAGCGAGTCAAGGTTTTTGCGAATTAGAACTCGGAATGGCTCAGTGGTCAACACGACATGACTCAGCCTGGACATGCTTGTCATTTTACGGCAGGGAAAACTTTCCTTTTGTTTTGGTCTGTGAAGTGAGTGGAGCACACGTTACCTGTCGGAGATCTTAACGGGCACGGTTTTAAGAAATGGAAGGGATACCTGCCCTTGATCCAACTGGGGTTTTAACCTTTAGACTATTTGTGTGAGACACATGAAGTTCGAGGCAGATCACTTCCTACCATTGTTTGGATCCTTACTGTTGTAAACTGTTGTCAAATACTGTACTGAGATGTTTTTATGACAAACATTTTTCAAAGACGAAACGTTTTTTCTTCTCGAAAAATAAAATAATAGGTAAATAGTAGTAGTAGTAGAAGTATATTTTAACTATTTACTGTACTTATTGATTATGCACTCTTAATTATGCCTCATACATTATTCTATACAAAGATTGTCCCATGGTAAGTGTAATGCAGAGCAAACTGGTATACAAGACAGGTGCATTTTAAAACTCACTATTTTAGCTCATACTGTTAATTAAGAACCACTATAGAAACTTGACCTGTAGATCCCTGTGAAAATTAACAGGATGTGTGTTTAGGTTTGAAAACAAAGGCACTTACTGACTTTAACCCTTTGTACTGTATTCTCCATTGTGGTTGAGCTCTATGGCAGTTGGCATGAAAAAAAGTGTCTATATAGGACTAGAAAATATTGAGGCTATGAACTATTGAATATGAACTATTGTATACAGTATTTAATCAACTCTTCTATAGTTGACCAGAATTTATACACTGTCATATTTTGTGAAAATAATTATTTTTAAAAACTGATAAAACCCATTTAAGTGTGGATGTTGTAAGTCTTCAGGTGGGCAGCTGCGTCAACATGCGTAGGCTGCAAAGGAACAAGTAATAGATTTATTCCATGCTGAAAAAAGAAAGAAAACACAACTTTTCAGCCGTGGAGCCTTCTTCAGGTGTCAACGGCTCCACGGCCGAAATGTTGTGTTTTCTTTCTTCTTTTTCAGCATGAAATGAATCTTATTACTTGTTCTATTGTAAGTCTTGATCATCTGTTCATTGTGAATGATCTATTGCTTTTAAGCCACAGTGATTTTGCCTCTATATGTACAGTATACACACCGCGGTGTAACAGTAATGATTATGGGGACACCTCCACCTTTCACTGAAATCCTGCTGAAAAAAATAAATTCATGGAAACTTTTGGTTTAACATTATCCATTTAAAAATGGCAGTTGGAGCATTTTCTTGGCTTTTGACCTCAGTTAAATCTTAGGACACTCTTTACCCAGTCTCATTCGGAGTCTTGCAGACAACTTTCAGAAACTGAACTATTTAATGTGTGGTGGTTACGGCAGCAAACATGATGCACAACACTAGATAACAGAAAACAGTCTGGTTGGTCAAAAGTCTCCGTGTAATTGTTTCCTTATACAGAGGAGACCACAGACCCTTTGCTCATATAAGGCTAAAGATGCCTAGAATGGCAATTAATCTACAAAGGTTATCAAAAAGAGCTATGGAGAAGAAATACAACTATTTTTGTTGTTATTTTCTGCTCTAAGAGTAAGCACACCACATGAACTGACGGTGCAGTAAAAATAAAGCATACAGAGGAAGCAATTAGGTATTATTGTCCACTTCACCCTCATGGAGTACTGTCAAAAAGGTAGCTTTGTGGTGAAGAGTTTATCTTTGGAATAATAAACCTAAGCACAAGAGGGTAAGCCTAATAAGCGTAATGGAACAAATTGGGTACTGTTCATTGTAACTTTACTTTTTTCTGAAGGTTTTTAAAAGTGATCCGATGACTGATGAAGTCTAGACGTCATAAGATCCTTGTAAAGTCATTAGCCAGCTGTCACCTTGAGTCCCCTGAGAGGTTGCTCATGTTTGGCTGAGGATTGCCGGGGCTGGGTGGGTATGAGTCAGCCAGGGTGTCTATGCTAAGCAATAGTAACCCCAGGGCTTTGCAGATCAGTTCCTATTCATCAGTGAGAGATGACATTGTTCTTCCAATTGGTCCTGTCTTATCAGGTACTGTAGAGTTTGCAGCGTGCTTGAGAAGAGAGAACAGTTCTTTTCGCCTCAGCCATAAACTGTAGCCACAGGTCTGGCTCCAAGGTCATAGTTTTAAGCTGTTAATTAATGCTTTGTGTTTATAAATAGGAAAATGATGAAAAACGAAACTTCTAAAAAACTCTTGAGACCTGTAAAAGTTGTAGACTTCCTGCAGAATAGACTGTAGTACTCTTAACAAGTCAAGTCGCTTTGATGATAAAGCTGTGTAACAGAAAGTAAATCACAGTTCAGCCCTACCCTGGGTTATTTTGCTTTGCAGTTACATTGGTTTTAATACAGAACTAATATATCACCTTTATGCTGGTACAGGCAATCACGCCTTGGCTTTACATCAATTTGCCGTTGGTGATTAGCCAGACTGCGACATTGATGCCTGTTTAGCCTGTTCATGGCAGCATCAATTGTAAATCTATGTGTACATTACAGTTATTTTATTTTAATGATTGAAAAGGCTTCATTTTGATGTATTGCATACATAGGAACAAGTAATAGGTTAATTCCACTCTGAAAAGAGAAGAAAGAAAATACAATGTTTCGGCTGTGGAGCCTTCTTCAGGTGTGAGGTCTGCTCACACCCAAAGAAGGCTCCGCAGCCAAAATGCAGCTACCCACCTGAACTATTGCAGGCATATTTTATTGTCAAACTATTTTATTATTCCTCATGCGTGGGCTAAGAAAAGGAAAAAAAAACATATTTTATGTACACATTTACTTTATTGTGGGTCTCTAAATCTAAATGTAGGGTATGACTTTATATTGATTATTCTTCTCTTTGCTGCCAGGACTTTCTTAATTGTGAAGACCTTTGTGCGTTCTTTGACGAAAAGTCAAATCATCTTCTTAATTTCTAAAAGATCAGAACTTTAAAATAAGATATTGTGAATATTGAGTTGCAAAAACGGGGTTGACAAATGCCAGTGACCTTAGTTTTGTGAGAGTTTGTATAAATTGTTTTTTAGATTAAGGTTTTTTGCTGTTTCACTATTCATGAAATTTGTTATTGCTAGTATTTGTATCTTAACTTTAGCTTATGTATCATGTAATATTGTCATATTTCACTTTGAATTATACCTTGTTCTTTATGGCTTTGTAGTTAAGTCATCCCTTGTCTGGAAGCATTCAGCATGAATGCACAAAATATTGCTAGATCTTGTCAGATACCCGAAGCTAAGCAAGGATAACCCTTGTTATCACTACAATAGGTGGCTCTGGTGGGCCACAATTTTCCAAACAATTACCAAGTATTTTGACAGGGGATGCTGTGATGTAGAAGGTACTGTTATTCAGCTGAGACATCATCAAAAATCAAGGTTTTGACTACATGATCATTAAAGGTCCCCTAGAATTGTTAGTAACATAGTAGTGGACTTGCAAAACCTGTACTCCCTAAATTTACTCCTTAGTTAAATTGGTCAAATT